ATCTATCTATCTATCTATCTATCTATCTCTTTATATATATGTATACATAGTTATATATGTAGCTATCTCAGTCTATTCATTACCTCTCTCTCTCTCTCTCTCTATATATATATATATATATATATATATATATATATATATATATATATATACCTATCTCAGTCTATTCATTATCTATCTATTTATCTCTGTTCATTATCTATCTATCTATCTATCTATCTATATATATATATATATATATATATATATATATATATATATTTAGCTATATATGCAGCTATCTATCTCTGTCTATTCATTTCTCTCTCTCTATATATATATATATATTAATATATATGTCAGTCTATTCATTATCTATCTATCTATCTATCTATCTATCTATCTATCTGTGTTAGTGTTTGTTCATTATCTATCTATCTATCTCTATATATAGTTATATATGTAACTATCACTGTCTATTCATTATCTCTTTTCTCTCTCTCTCTCTCTCTCTCTATATATATATATATATATATATATATATATATATATTAATATATATATATCAGTCTATTCATTATCTATCTATCTATCTATCTATCTATCTTAATTCTTAACCAACTGTTTCTGAATCACATGCACCTATTGTTCGTCCTGGCTTTAGTCGCAGTTCACATCGGAAAACAACCAGAACATGATGAGATCCTTGGTGTGATCGAGCATCTTTACAAAGCGCCTCAATTCGATCAAACAGATCTCTTGTGGTTTATCGGCGATGAACTTCTTCCTCGTCATCACGTGGGACTTGGACATAATCTTCATACATTCCGCATATTTGATAGTGGTCGCCACCGTCTTTCACACGATTACTCCCTGGTTTGTCGACTACGAACTGCTCTCTCCTCGGCTTACGGCTATTACATACTTTGATTCGGTTTGACTACCATATACCAAGCCCCAAGATGATGTAAGAAGATGACGACCTAAATAAAACAGACGAGTAAATGGAATAATTTTAATTGACTAAAATAATCATGTAATCTCTTCACAGCATTTTGAAACACCGGTATGATCACTGAAGTTAAGCAACGGCGAGGCTGGTCACTACCTAGATGGGTGACCACTTGTGCATATCAGGAGCTGTGAGCGTGGCTGTGTGGGTGGTGTAATGGATAACGGCTCGGAATTGTTAAGCAGAGAGCCGAGTTGCAATTCCAGTTAGGTTCATTATATTCACTTATGTGCTAATACACTCGGGAAGGATATGAATCCACCTCTTCTTCCCCCAGCTATGGGTTAATTAGTAAGACTTGTATCACTAAATCTTATTATTTCCAAAAAGATACTTAGAATTTGAAAATATTTTCTGGCTTTAAATAACCTACAAAGGGTTGATAAGCTATAGAAAACGGATTATTCAATCAGCCACGCTCTCTCCTCGTCATGTAGGACTTAAATTTCATGTATTCGTCGTATCTGATTCTGGATTCGTCTAAGCATCACGTAGAACATAGGTCGGAAACCCTCGGTCCATATACGAGGCGCGAAGGATTTTTGTCCGTCTGAGCAAGATAATACCTGGACACTAGTTATATAATTAATTTGCGGAGCAAGTGATAGAAAAATATCAGTTGAAGATAATCAATTTATATTGGTTCTCCTGTAGTTTGTCTGGCATGAACTGCTCACGTAGGACTTGAACCTAATTTTCACGATAGTGGACTCCGCCATAATTCACATTGTTCCTCTATAGTTTGAAGTACTCTCTCCTCATCATGTTGGACTAGGTGTTAATATTCACGTATTCTTAATATCTGATAGTAGATTGCGTTGTCCTTCACACAGTTCTCCTGTAGTTTGCCTGATATTAACTGCTCCTTCCATCTCACGTACGACTTGGACCTAATTTTCCCGATTTCCACATATCTGATAGTCGACTTCGCCATCTTTGACTCGATTCCCACATAGATTGTAGGGTAGTAACATCTCTGCCCACATTACTTAGGACTTGGATCAAATTTTTACGCATTCCACATATTTGATAGCGGACACTCCACCATCTTTCACGCAGTTCCCCCATAGCTTGTCGGGTATGAGCATCTCTGCCCACATTACGTAGTACTTCGTCCTAATTTTCAATATATATATAATAGTTGTTCTAGCACGAAGCCACAAGTCATCGTGGCCGAGGGCTTGAGCGTGCTGGCCTTGTTCAAATTGTTGATCACGCTAGATAACACGCTCTCTCCCAGAAACTGTAACTAAGGTCTGCTAAGCATAGTTGCAGTATAAACCAAAGGTGGGCTCTGTTTTTGTTGAGCAAACGCAAATGTTTCTGAGCGAGTGTCTGCAATAGGGATTGGCTAGGCGTCCTAGTAGACGGTTATCCTCGAATACGAGTGGCCGGCTATTATTATTATGTGTGTTCTTCTATGTGTGGTGACATACCTAAGTAAAGTATGTACACACACACACATACATACATACATACATACATACATACATATATATATATAATCACCTAAGATGTCCACTGTGAGATCTTCAGATGCAAGCTGACGGCATTTGCGTATAAGAATCGATGGAATATGAAAACATTTCCGAGAAAAGTCGGGTCGAAGAAGTGGAATTGATTCTTGCGCAATACTAAAGGAGGTAAAATTATTTACCCACGCTTCTGCATCTATCCGCCCACGCGTGCAGAACTCACCAGACAATCGCTCGTAAATCGTCTTCCATTTTCTCGTTTTCGCGCTGAATAATAGCGACTGAAAATGGCCGCAGAAACCGGCGACAAATCTCAATGAGTCTAATTCTGATTTTTGCCGCTGGCTGCATTCAATAGGCATTTTCGATTTCGCCGAAAGGCATAATCTCACGAGATTTCAAGTAGCTTTTCATATTGACATAAGTCGCCATCTTAAATAGTTTCTCCTCATTTGATGCAGCAAATTCATTTTCCTTGGTTATTTTTTTTCTTCTTGCGTTGGCGATATTGAAAACTGACTAAGCAAATCCCAAATAATACTGAGCCTGTATTGTAATGAAAGATTCGGTGAATTTCTTAAGAAGAAGACATTGTACTTTAGAAACTCCTCGCAGATGAAAATGTAACAGAAATACGTTTCTACAGAACGATACTGGGAATACCATGGGCCGAACACGTGAGCAACGACGAAGTTCTAGAGACAATCTATATATAAAATTCTGTAAACTTTCGTTAGTCTTCCTATCTACCCGTCCGTCCGCCCATCACACACTCTAAAATAGCCATTGACCGATCGAAACCAAGTTTTAGGGAGAAGTGCAAACAGGTAAGGGGGGTACAAAGTACAGTTGGTTTTATTAGAGTGCATAGCTTAATAGAATAAATTTTCATTTTCTTTTTTAGGAGGTGAGGTGGGAAATTAAGTTTTATTATTTAACATCAAAAATACTCCCATAATTTTAAAAACAATTTAATGATTAAAATGACAAATACTTATTTAATAAAAATGAAATATTGTTTTCTGGATATATTTTTCTTTAAGTTTTTATATATACAAGAATTCAGTTCGTCCTGATTTTTGCGAGAATTATAAACAAATTACAAGGCCAAATGGTTCAAAAAGTTGGAATTTGGCTCCAGAAAGAAATATTTACACATGTGTATGTTGCATGCTCAAGAGTAAGAAAACCCAAGAATTTATTCTTCGCTGTTAAAAAAAAAAAAAAGAAATTTTTCTTAAAAATATTGTTTATCATGAGGTCCTATAAAATGAAAGGAAATTAAAGAAATTATTAAACCGCGAAGTAGGGTTTTTGCCAAAGAATTTTTCCAAACAAATCAGCTTATTCAAATTTTATCGAGTGGCTTAAGAAATTGAACGAAACGTAGAGATTGTAAAAATTCTAGTGGAAATAAAAAGGACACTTGTACTTAACACCATTAAGAGACGTTTGAAATTACTAGGACACATATGAAGAAGGAGGGATTAGAAAATTTGATACTCACAGGACAGATTGAAAGAAAGAGGAAAGCAATGCGTAACCTACTTAACATCAAAATCTAAACGCGCATTGGGATAGCGAAAGATGCCTTCCAAAAACTAAGCAAAGTATGAAGAGATAGGAAAATTCATTAGAAACAAAGAAAAGATTGCTGAACTGCTATGGAATGACAATCCTTCTATATGGCAGTGAATGTTGGACAATTTCCTCACAGATGAAAAAGAGCCATCCAGAGACTAAACAAAGTTTAGTTAATGGATCGAAGAGAGAAGGATCAAAGAGAGAAGGACCTAAGAGAGAAGCATCGAAGAGAAGGACCAAAAGAGAGAATGACCTAAGAGAGAAGGACCGAGAAAAGGACCAAAAAGAAGGATCGATGAAAGAAGGACCTAAGAGAGAAGGATCGATGAGAAGGACCAAAAAGGAGAAGAATCGAAGAGAGAAGGACCTAAGAGAGAAGCATCGAAGAGAAGGACCAAAAAGGAGAAGGATCGAAGAGAGAAGGACCTAAGAGAGAAGGATCGAAGAGAAGGACCAAAAAGGAGAAGGATCGAAGAGAGAAGGACCTAAGAGAGAAGGATCGAAGAGAAGGACCAACGAGAGAGCATTGGAGGATGCCTTAAATGATGTCATGAGCTTCATAAAACTGAACATTCACGACAAATTTCATAGACCCACCTAGTACATGCATGTGCTTTTAAAATAAGTGATGCTTCCACTGTATATACACTAGCGGTGAAATTGACATATTAATTCCCGCTCTGTTTAGTCTTGAAGTCAAAACACTACATTCATTTATTTGAATCATCTTTTGTGTTTCAACCCCAATTCTTTGTGAACTTTTTGTCATATTACTGTTGCTTTGACTTAATACTGTTAATTTGCTTTGCATATATTGTTTGCTCGATTAATATTTTTTATGCCCTGTTCTTTTCTATACTTTTTATTGTTTATTTCAAACTTTGTCAATTATGTTTATTGGGCAGTTCATATTTAACAATGGCCACTCACTCTACATTTCAAATGTTAGAATATGCAAAAATAAGGTTTCATTTTATTTTTCGTTTAATCTTTTAAAACATTTTCTGACCAATTTGATTTCTCTTGCATTGTTTTTTATTCACATTCCAAGAAATGATCAGAAAAGTTATTCTGATCTCTACAAACGTTTCAACCAGAATTATTACAGTCTTTACTTTGTAGTCATGTGTTTGTAATTCACACAAATATTATGACGAAAACCAGAAACTCCTTTTTGTTACTTGACTAAGGTTTTCAGAAAGCTACTTGACTCATCATGAAAATTTGATTTGCTACTTGCTAAATATAAACAAGGCATTTTGTGGGATACTCAAAGACCCTGTTAGTTCCAATTCTTATAAGGAATGACGTATCTATAAGTCTACCATTCGTCCATACTTTGAATATTGCCCCCATATATGGTCCGATGCTCCTGCTGTATATTTAGAGATTCGTGATAAAATCCAAAGAAAAATCTGCAATGTTATTGGTCCTGATTTGGCCTCTCGGCTTCAGTCACTTTCCCGTCACCGTAAAGCGCAGTACATGATTAGCAATAATGTCTCATCAATTTATAGTTCAATTGTCAAGCTATAACTGTAAGTTTTATGCCAACAGTTTCTTTTCTCACACTTCTTGTTTGTGCAACACGCTTTTGGTTCCATGCTTTCCAGCCAACTTTGATCTCCAGAAATTTATTAACAATGTAAATCGTTATCTACTGTCTTCCTGATTACTCTTCTGTTGTTCTCGCTCCTTTCTCGTCTCCAGTCATTTTTTATGGTAACTACTTGGATGTGCTTTTTTTTTCCTGGTGCCCCGACTACATGCATTTAAGCGTGCTGCTGCTAGATTGGCAACTAGTTCCCGTCGTTTTATTGATACAAACGCCATTTCTACTCTAACAGTTTTTTTTCTCTCGTGCTTCTCACCCATAGAACTCCTTTCCGATTTCTTGCTTCCCTGATAACTACAAAAAAAATTTAAATGGAATGTCAATCACCATTTTCTGTCTTCTTGAACCCTGTTCCTTATTTTTCCTTTCCCCAATCCATCCCGGTTTCAATTTTTAATATTCTCATTCTCTTTGACTTTTACTCCCTGTAATCCTTTGCGTCTTAGTGGCATTATCGCCTTGCTTGGGGTGAAACGATTAAAATAAAATCTTTCACCATCAGTAAGTTCTTGTGTCTTAGTGGCTTTACTGCCTTGCGTGGGGATGAAAAAACTGTTTAAAAAAAACAAAAAACCTCGACTTATACATGAATGCATACATCGTATTTGCAGTAATGATAGTCGTGATTGCAAATAAACTGGCTGCTTCTTGTTTATAATCTTTCTTTGTTTTATTTTATTTAACGCTGCGTCTGTGAATACGACGACTTTATGCCGACTATTATTTACATACCGGGAAAAAGAGGAGGAAGCGTTGTGTATGGATACGGTGTTTCCTGGTATTCGGGATTTGATCTTTGCTTTGCCGACATTTATTTCGTGTGAAATCTTGCACGAGTCGCCGCCCTGAGTGTGCTATGTTCGACGTTCCAGGTAAAAAAGAGCGCGTAGGGAGTATGGACGCTGCAAGTGCTGTCCGTCTCGCGTAGTTAGCCTTTTCCCCCATCTCCTACTCCCCCTACTCCGCTTTTGTATCCGGGCTGACATTTAGAGATTTAAGCGAAAACAAGATGCAAAGATTTCTGGTCCAAATCTTGCAATCTCGAGAAAAAAAAAAAAAAAAAAAAACGGAAAAAAATGCCAGCATTTAAATCATTTATGTGCGTTTTGGTGTCATGGATAGCGGCTCGGAATGAGAACACGGAGATCTGAGTTCGAATCCCTGCCGGGTTCGTTACATTCACTTACACGCAAATACCTTTGGGAAAGATATGAATCCATCTCTTCTAACAACTATGCGCTGACCAACAGGACAAACTGGGTACTATAGCCTTAGTTGGCAACCGGTCTACCGCATAAAAACACTGCAACTTAATGTAGGGAAAAATCTTCTGCCTTTTCAGTCATGAATCGAAAGAGACATGATCGCCCAAGCGTGTATCATGTATAGCACTTGACTAGCTTTATCTCTTCTTCACTCGGCTATGATGCGAAGAACAGGACAGAATGGGTACTATAGCCTTGGTCGGCAACAAGTCTACCGTAGAAAGAAATGGCAGCCTCCTGCGGGAATATCTTCTGCCTAGTCAGTCATGAATCGAACGAGACATGATTGCCCAAGCGCGTATCATGTATGACACTTACCTGATGTGTGGTGCACGTCTCAAGACGTAGGCAATCATGGTTCTCCACAGCCTCCTTCGTAGTTCTTACTAAGGTCTGTCTTTCTCCTATCTCACCACTCCCTGTTCCGCTATCCAAACGCTGATCAAAGTAGGTTACTAGTTTTCCTTTGTCCCTCGTGTAAATTGTCATTAATTTTTATTTTTTTAGAAATAGGTCCTCTCTTCGTTTATATCGCAGTTTTTGTTGTTGTGTATTAAGTCACTTAAACAAGAAGATAATCATCGCATCAACTCAGTCCAGGTGCCCCTTACGAAACAGCCGGAGTCATATGATGGATCACTACAGCAAGCTTATTAATCCCATGAAATAGATCTTCGTTTGGAATGCTATTAACTGATTGATTTGTTTCTTTACGGTTTATCAACTCATAGCAGGTTATTTAAAGCCAGAAAATATTTTTAGACTGTAAGAGTTATTTTTTCAGATCATAATGATTTATTAATACAAGTTTTAATAATTCATTTATAGCTGGTTGGGGAGAACATATATATTGGTTTGGTTTGGTTGGTTTACTGCATATCAATATCAATCGGTTATTTAATGCCGACAATATTTTTATTGCTGGTAATACTTTTTCCAGAAATATATTGCTGGTAATATTTTTCTTTTTTCAAAAAATGTACTTCTGATATTATTTTTTCCAAAAAAGTATTGTTAGTATTAAAGTCTATTTTTATACTTTCATAGTTTTGACCCCTTTTAGAAGGTTAACTATTTACCCATAGCTGGGACCATAACAGGTGCTACCATAAAGGGTCAGGGCGGACCTGGGAAGCAGCAATTAAGAGGTGGTTTCATGCTCCTCAAATCATCCTGATCAAAGGCCTTGCTGTTGTGTGTAGTTTATCGTCATACCCAGGACGCAGATGTAGTTTATTGTCTTACCCAGGACACGGATTTAGTTTGTCGTCATACCCAGGACGCGGATGTAGATTATCGTCTTACCAAGGACGCGGATGTAGTTTATTGTCTTACCCAGGACACGGATGTAGTTTATTGTCATACCCAGGACACGGATGTAGTTTGTCGTCATACCCAGGACGCGGATGTAGTTTATCGCCATGCCCAGGACAGGAATATGTAGGTTGTACTCACGAATACAGCCCACGCCTTACGAAGGGCTTTATCTATGTAAAATATGTATGATTTTTTTTTCTTTAAAATTCCTCAGTAGAAAATGTCATGATGCCATTTCTGACATTAAGTCTCTGTTCAGGACTGGGAAAGAAATGAGTAGACACGAGAGATCAAACGAAATAAAATAATAATAATAATAAATTTATCGTTACAATCAAAAAGAGAAGGTCGTAATTTCTTGAACACATCATGAGAAAAAGCGGCCTGAAGAAGCAAACACTCATAGGATGAAGGCAAGTTGGGGTGGGGGTAGAAGTGGATTCCCAAGGGTATTTGCACGCAAGTAAATATGACGAACCCAACTGGATTTGAAACTCGGTTCTTCAATTAACAATTCACCACATCCAAGCTTACACCACCCGGTGTTCCCAAGCAGTCAACCATCTAGGTACAGCCCAAGATCAACGTTGTTTAACTTCGGTGATCGTACAGGAACCGGTGATATAGCCATAAGGTTGAATGTTATCAAGACCGGCTGCCTTCCTAGCATTAATTCGTTTTATTGCTTCCAGGAACTTCTCTAAATTAGGATGATCCAACATTTCATCAATGATATCTAACTGAAGCAAGTCATTGATGATATCTTTGTTAAAAACCGAGGAATTCTAAAAAAAAAGATCCGTAAATTGTTCAGTTCATTATATGCTCCTGGTTCTTGAAAAGAAGAAACCCGCCCGTTGACTTGAGTGGTACCAGAGACGATGCCTGTTTTGGAGTCCTTCTGATCATAAACACTCTGAGCTTGCAAGGAAATATTTAACCCCCTCTGTAGTTCTGGGTATGACGATAAACTACATCCGGCAGCAAGGCCCAGGATCGGGATAGTGGAGATTTTGAGGAGCGTAGAACCACCTTTTAATTGCTGTTGTTTCCAGTTTCACCCTGACCCGGGGTGGTAGCACCTTTTAGGGTTCTATGTATGGGCAGATAGCGAACCCCGCCCCAAACGAAAACAAAACATCCTAATGCGTCTCACTAACTTTTACACACTTTAGCGTCCAGAATGTTTCTCACATTGATTTGAATATTATCTGTTATATCATGTGACACGTATTTAACCATTAAGAAATAGCCCTCAAAATACCATTAATCTGCGTCTCTTTGCTTTTTATCATCTTTTATCATTTCTATCGTGATCTCTGACGAAGCTTTAGTAAATTGAAACATGTTAGATTGAGATCTGTTTCCGACTTGTTTTTTATTCTATCAATTTGGCAGATTCCTATCCATACTTGATTTATATTTGACCATATATATATATATATATATATATATATATATATATATATATATATATATATATATATATATATATATATCAAGGTTAACAACGAGGTCACTCTGTGTTGACCTCAGTGTTATTTTCTTCTGGGTATTCAATTTGTAGTTTTCTAAAAACGATGACAGCCGGGATCTTTATCACTTCTAATAAATTACTCTTTTCAGCCGTGTACATTACTGGACTTTTCTTCTATGTGCCGTCTCCCTCCAGGACGTGGACGATTATGGCTCTCCATATCTTTTTGTCTTTTGTAGTACTTAGTAATGTTTGTCTTTTTCCTATCTCTCCTAA